TCAACTTGCAGCTGCATGTGGAGATTCAAGAGTGGGGAGCAAATGTCACCAAAGAAATAGTCCTTCTCATTCTCAGGCCAGAAGGTGGTCAAAACCTCTCCACCGAACTTACGTCCAAAACTCTATCATATCTGCATCTGCCTACCGCGTGGCATCAGCAAGCAAGAACTAAGCATTGCCGTTCAATCGCGACTTCGGCCACATCTCCCAGAGGCACAGCCACAAGAAAACCCGCCCGACCGCGCCTTGCCCTTGCCCACGCCCTGCAATCTCCAAGCGCAAGGGGGGGGAGGGGAGGGGGATCTCCAAAGCAACTCCAGGCATACTTCGGTGATGTCTAGAGGAGCCTGGGGATGTCCCCAGTACTCCCAATGAATCCCAACATGAGGCTGACATGGCTGACCTTCCAGCTGGCTCCGTACTCTCCGCCCACAGCATGGCGCTCGAAAAACACCGGGTTCTCGAAACCGAGCTTGATGCCTGGCGTTTTGGGGGCGTCTTTTGGCTTGGGGCTTGAAAAAACCCGCGAGAAGCCGAGAAGCGCATCGCATCTCACCTCCACTCTGATCGCATCTCACCTCCAATCTGAAAAGCCTGATCCAACTTGCCTCATGCGCACGATTGCTTAAGCCCTCGTGACCGGGTGGGCAAACGCCTGGGATGTGGATCGTGTCTCTGGAGATCGTGATTCCATTCCAGCCCCTGGCCAACATCGGGGGAAGCTTGGTTGCTCTTTCACCCGCGAAAAAAAGTTTAACTTTTAGCTCCCTAAATATGAAATTAGAGTAACCCGAAAACTTCTAAAGTGATAACAGTGATAAAGTTGTAGTAAAGTCCCACCTAGGAAACTAAACTGCCCAGCCAAGCTTGCACTCACAAATACTCACTAGGATCACGCCGTTGCGCACAGCATGCACAGCCCTGATCTGGATGAAAGGGGCTGCTGTCTTCGTAGGTAGCTTGGCCGAAACCATGGGGTGAGGGCCTTTTACCAAGAAAGCAAAAAGGAAGCCGAGTTCCCAATCCTCAGTGTCCCACGAAAACCCAAGCCACACCACGGAAGATCAAGCCCCCCCTCCCCGACCCTCACTAGGCCTTCGCATCGCGCCGTTCGGCGAGCCAAAGGGCTTCTTCAAGCCAAATTCCTTCACCTTTCAAAGGCTGAGGCTCATCGAGGCCTATTCTCGCCCAAACGCCCGCTGGTCACGCGATGATGCGGGGGCAGGGCGCTGTCTGCAAACTCGAACCCAAAACCACAGTCACAGCCCCGGATCCCGACCCTCGCGGAATCCCTAAACCCTAAACCCTAAACCCTAAACCCTAAACCCTAAACCCTAAACCCTAAACCCGCGCCTGCTCCGTGGTCGGCGTAATTGTGGGCTCCTGGCTCAGTCAAGGGCAGCCTCTAGCAGCAGCTCCAGTCAGGCCAACAAAGGCACTCAGCAGCTGTGCGTACGCTCTGTGAGCTACTGGGCTGCGCTCTTGTGAGGGCTTTCGATTCTTCAGATGTCCCCAAACTACTTTGCAGGAGCCGAAATGTGCCTTGAAGATGGCTCCCAAGCGCTTGCCAGAGGCGACGGCGTCATGCAAGACCTCCCAGGTTTCGAATGCTGGCCGCCCTCTTCTTTGGGTAGCTTGCCACCCCCAGCCCACCATCCCAAAAGTGGAGAAACACCCTGAGGCGCCTTGTCGTCAGTCGCATCCCGGTTCTTGCAGCTGAGATCGAAGTATTCCCATTTCGAGGTGTCCACGAATGGCTCGACCCACTTCTCCTGATCTCAAGAACCCGGAGCGCAAGTCTTATCTGTATATGGGGGCTTACGAACATAAGGGGCCCCTCATATAGTCCCCCAAATCGTAGGATTCCCTTA